TATAATATATAAATGATAATACATATAAAGAATAAAATAATATATAAAAATAAGAGAAAGAAACAAGCTAACACTATGATAAAACTTTTCTTGTTGATATTGATTTGGATGATGAAAGTTTTTATCTTTGCTATTGGTTATAGCATTATCACCTTTTTAAAAGTAATAAATGATGATTAGGATGGTGATGATGTAATAGTAGTTGAAGATGCCGTGGAAGAGTTCTTTATCAAGTATTATTATTATTACGTAATAGCCGCTTAGACCTAGTCTTAATATTACGCCTTTCTTTGGCCTATGTTCGTCTCCATTATTAATATCATTATCATCATCGTTATTAAAATCATCATTATCACCACCGTCATCACCATCATCTCCATCATCATCATCATTTTTTTGAAAAGGCTCAGTTTGATTATTATCATCTTTACCAACAACTTGACTATCATCCAACTTCATTTACCGAATGATGATAGTTTGAGAGGAGTTTCAGTAACTTTATTATAATTATTATTATCATCATTAACTTCTTTCATTTGAGTTATTTTTTGATGACAATGAAGATGATGGTTTCACTTTGGAATGCTAAGAAAGAATAAATTGATATTTATTATAAAAATGGATTAATATTCATTGAAAAAAGTTATAATACATAGAATAATATAGTTAGTATTATTATATTATATATATAATATGTGTAAGTAATATCTGATATAGGAAATTAATCAATGAATAAAGAAAGTTCTAGCTTGAACATCCATACACATAATGCTTTCTTCCTTAACTTCTTATCATCAAATTTCCAAAGTATAGTTATAGTAACTTTATGACAGATCCGATTAACTTATAATGAGGAATATAAATCTTGAGTTGATTGAACATTATTAAAAAGCATGATCAATATTTTTGTGGAGATTTTAGTTGCTTTTTTTTTGTCTGAAAAAAAATAATAATCGTGTCAAGTTTATATAACATTTATGATTCAATGTGTAACTATACTGATTTAACCAAAATAATATCTAAAATACGCCACAGTACCAATTAATTTTATTATAATTAAATCGCTCCTCAGGCATTTTTCTGTTTCTGAAACAAAAATAATGTCGATGTGTCGACTCTTTATTTATTTCCTTGGTATTAATTATATTTTGACACAAATTACTTGTCCTAAATAAAGATTGGATTAATGAAATATTATTTGGTCACTGTTTTCAATTCCTTGATTAGTCTTTGCAGATTAGGTGCTTTATCCTTATTAATTGGTTTCTTTGCTTTCGTATAATTACTTCTAACACGTAAACGTGAAAGATAACTGGATGCTAAATCAATAATGACTTTTTTAAAATTGCCAATTCTAAACCACCTCTTTTCTATTTTCTAGGTGTATTGATATATAATACGTGCAGCTACATAAATAACTAAATAAACAATAATAATAATAAATAAATAATAATGAATAATTAAATAATAATAAATAATAATAATAAATAATAATAAATAAAACGAATAAATAAAATATAAACAGCAAATAATAATTAAATAATAACGAATTATTAAACAATTAAATAATAATAATAATAAATAAAATAATAAATAAATTTAAAAATAATAAAAATAATAAATAATTAAATAATAAATAAATTTAAAAATAATAAAAATAATGAATAATAAACAATAAATAAATAAGTAAATAAATAAATGATAAAACTCATAAAAAGATTGCTCCAGTTCGAATAAAATTCTCATATTTACTTTTTTCAATGATTGTTCACTGTGAAAATAAAAATGAATAACCTATATCTTAAATCTGGTACTTCGGGAATATCTTTAGAATTAGTAATTCCTCCTCCTCCTCCTCCTCCCACACTTAAACCTGAAAACTTTTCAATCATTCAATCTTCTTTCTTTCGTCATTTTTGATCTATCTTGTCGATTGCTTTTGGTTAGGTTAATTGTTGGTTCGGAATATTTTTAGATACTCAGTTAAGAATTATATGTATGCAAAGAATTGACATAATCTTTTGATCTCCTCCATAATTTCCACAATTTGGTTTCGTGCAAACCATAAAATAAGTAAAAATATGAATTATGAGCTATTGTATAATGTGATTAAATAACATCAGCAGTTGATGAAATTAAAGTATTCATAATTACAGTGGTTTTAATACTTTCCCTGGTAGTTGTAATATTTCCAATATTTCCTATATTATTATTCACTGGTCGAAATTTCATAAATACTACACATATCTGGTACCAGATAGGTGTAGTATCCGTCCCTAATATCGATCACACATCGGGCAATTTAAATTTATAAATTAACTTTATAAATTGAACTTTGATATTTTTTATTAAAAATTTTAACACAATTTCATGTTCTAATTTTAATATAAAATAAAGACTAAAATATATTGTTAAAATGTACGCAAAAATCATATTGTAGAGCTAAAGAATTGAGTCAAGATAATTCATTGTCTATCGAAGAATCAAAAGCAATTATTTAATTTTATTGGTTCAATTTTTATTTTAGATTTAATTTTTTGTAATTATTAACAACCTCTAACTTACATTTTCACTTTACCCATTGTTATTTATTATTTATAATCTACAAGTCAATAAATATTATTTATAATTTGTTTATATATTCTTTATATTAGATATATTCACAACACGTGCTAAAGAAATATTATCAGTAAAATAATATTTCTATTTTAATCTATGATTACTTCTTCGAGACCTGAGAAAAGAAATTCCAGCAAAGGATTAATTAAAAAAATAAATCGATATGTTTTTATCTTGAAACAAAGCTTAAAAAATAAATAATTTCCATTTTTTATCGTTATTTGTAGAATGTTACACACGATGTGCTATATGAATGACTGTAATGAACAATAAAAGAAATAACTGCTTTTTCGAGATTAATTGATATTGATCCTGCTGAAATTATTTACAGTATTTACGAAAAAAAGTCTTTATTCAGCTATGCCAAGAAATCGAAACCGTTATAGAATACTGAAATTGGAAGTAATATTGCCAATCTCAAATTCATTACTTGTGACACTACGTTTGAAAAAAGGAAGTATACGATTTCAGTGTCGTACAGGACGAAATTAAAATCGAAGATTTAACCTCTTTTGAAATATAATTGAACCATAATGATGATGTTATCTAAGAATCTTAAAGAACTCCGAGTTCACTTTTGTCAATTTCGCCGGCGAGTAAAGGTGTTAGATAATTATGATAGATATTGAATATTCTGATCATAATAAGTCACAAAAAGTCACAAAGGTCGTAAAATGCTTAGTCGTTGAGAAAAAATATTGAATCAATTTAAAATAATATAAATATAATAAAAAAAAAATAAATAATTATTATTATTTTATTATTTTAGATCTTTAATTAAAGCTGTCAACGCAAATTTCCAATTTTAATTAGTGAGGCGAGAGGAGTTGAGGATATGGTTATCGACTTGTCAATAAATTTATGTGTGTTAAATGATTGAAGTCGAATCCAATTTAGAAAAATTAGTAACTAAGAATATCGAAGTTAATAAAAGTACAGTATAAAAGTATAAATTAAGTCCATAATAACAAATAACACATGTCACGGCCGAAATCTTTCTTTCAATGTTACACGGATAATATACAGTAAAAGAATAAAAAGGATTTTTTTTATAGATATATTTTAAAGAAGAAAAATGGTATATTTGATTTAATATTTCAACCTCTGAAATTTATGTCTGCAACAGTAATTTATTTATTTTTTCTTTCGAAAAATTTCGGTGTTATACAGATAATATAAAAAATCGAAAGGATTTTTTGAGTTATATTTAAAAAAGAAAAATGTCATATTTAATTAGTTCAATATTTCGGCCTTCTGAAATTACTGCTCTAATATACTACAAGTATTATCAATCAACTCATATATTACAAATTGATCCAAAAAATAAACGCAAGAAAAGATGTTATGAATTTTTGAGACAGACTTCTCGTTCTTACGCAACGCTAATTCCAGAAATTCACAAAGACTTGAGGGATGAGGTAAAGCATCAGTTGCATTTTGTATATTTTGTATATTTTTCGTATATTTTTGTATATCAAATATTTAGCTACTTTTAAATATGATAATATAATAGGTTTGTATATTTTACTTAATTTTGCGTGGTTTGGATACAATCGAAGATGATATGACAATTCCCATCGAAAAGAAAGAGCCATTGTTAAGAAATTTTCATGAAATTATTTTTAAAAAAGGATGGACTTTTACAGAAAGTGAGTTATAATTGTAAAAGAAATTAATATTAAATTTTAATAAAATTTTAAAATTTTATCTTTGATTTTAAATGCACAGACGGGCCTGATGAAAAAGATCGACAGTTGCTTCTTGAATTTAATATTGTAATTGATGAATTTTTGTGCTTGAAAAAAGAGTACGAATTTTATAATATAATTTTAAATTTTGATAATAACGATTGAATTTCTTATTTCTTACTATTTTTTTTTTAAAAAAAAAAATAATTCAAATAATTCAAAAATTCAAATAATTCAAATAATTTAGATTCAGGGATATTATAGCAGATGCCACCAAGGAAATGGGAAATGGAATGGCAGATTATGCTAATGATCCTGTACATAATAAATATGGTATCGTGACCCTTAAAGATTATGATAAATATTGTTATTCTGTAGCAGGATTACCTGGTATTAGTCTTACCAGATTATTTGTCGTCAGTGGATTGGAAGATCCAGAAATTGGCAAGAACCTAGAATTGTAAGTTGTGTGATTATGATATTTTTTATAAATTAATTAAATAAATTATTGAAAATTAAACATTATAATACTGATTAAATAATAATTAATAATAAAATATGATAGAGCAAATACGGTGGGATTATTTATACAAAAAACCGGTATGATCCGAGATTATTTAGTTGATGATCAAGAGGGACGTCAATGGTGGCCAAAGGAAATTTGGTCTAAATATTTTAAAGACTTTTCAGAACTAAAGAAACCAGAAAATGCAACGGGTGCTGTTAATTGCTTATCAGATATTATTCACAATGCACTTCTACATGTACCTGATTGTTTGACATTTATGAATCGAACAAAAGAACAAAGTTTTTTTAATTTTTGTGCTATTCCGCATGTTATTGCAATAGCTAGATTATCAATTTGGTTTAGGAATCATAATTTCTTTAAAAAACATGTCAAACTTCGAAAAGGCCAGTCTGTTAAGGTGATGAATATTTTTAATTATATTTATTTATATCAATTTCAAAATATATTATGTTTTATAATCTTATTTATTTCTATTTATCTATTTATTTATTTTTTAATTCAGTTAATGTTGAGCTGTAAAAATATTTATGAAGTTGCAGGTTTCGTTCGTTATTATAGTCGTGTCATTGCTAGTAAAAATGATCCACAAGACCCAAATTATTTGAAAATCGGTATGGCATGTGGTCAGGTAAAATCATTTGAATTACAATAACAAATAACTAAAAAAAATTATTATAATTATTATAATTATTATACTGACATTTTTTTTAATAAATAAAAAATTACAGATTGAACAATGGTGTACAGTTAATCTTCCAGATCTTGATAATTATCAATCATCAACATCCAAACTTCCTAGGATGACATACTCCCGTCTCAAAAGTTTAGAACTACCTGAAAAATTATAAAAAATTGACTATTTTGTCAACCAATTATTTTTTTTACAATTCTTTATTGTCCGTACATACTTTTAATAACTTTATTTTTATTTAAAAAATAAATTTAATAAATTTTCAGGATAGTTTAATATAGACCGATTTTTTAATAAATTTAATTAATATTTTTTAAATTATTTAAAAATTCACGTTATTTCCAATAAACAAAAAATTTTAACTCAATTTTTAAAATTGACTAAATTGAAAAATATTGAAAATTTTAATATAAAAAAATTTTGCTTTATCTTATTGAAATATAATAAAAATTAGTGGGATAACCATGATATTTTAATTCTGGTTAAAGGCCTAATCCATACCAAGAAAAATATCCCCATATCATGATACCTCCACCGCCATGTTTTATAGTTGGAACAAGGCAATTAATGTTGTATTTTATTTTTCTTTTTGGAAGTCGCCATACATGAATTTTGCCATCATTCCGTGTCCAATTTAAACGGATTATCCTATTTTTAACTAGATCTGTTCGGCACGCTTAATAGTGTTTTTATTTACTTCATTTCTTGTACACTCATTAAAGATTTCTTGTAATTGTTCAGATGATTTACGGAGATTTTGGAAATAACGATCTTTTGATAATAATCGCGTTTTGTTAATTTTTTTTTGCTCACCCACTTCTGAAAGCAACAGAAATATTACCATTTTTACGATATTTAGGTATAATATTATGAATGGTAGTTTTCCCATATCCAGTTTTTTTAGGAATAGTTTGTTCTGAGTCACCAGCAAGATAGAACCGATAACTTCGCCTCGCTCGAAATCTGTTGACTCTTTTTTTTTTACCATTCTAAAAATAATTAAATAAAACGTAATTTGTCTTAATCATTGTGTATATTTTATTTATTTTATTTTTCAAGTTATATATTTATGTGCTTGTGCAAATCGCAAGGGTGGTCCTAAACTTTTGAGACGGGAGAATATTCTTTTAATATTTACGGCATATTAATTGTATTTTCGCAATTGGGAACGTTTTCATGATAATGCATTAAATATAATAAATCGTTTTAATATTTTAAATATTGAATAATTATGAATTTTACTTTTTCTCGTCCAAAAGGAACATTTTTCGGCGTTAATTATCATCCTTTGTCACCTCTATTTTTTTCATATCCACGGCTTGTGTTATTATATTACATTGTATTTAGTGCATTATTTATGTATTTATTTCTTTATTTTGTTTTATTTTGTTATGCTTTATTTCATTTTATTTTGTTTCAATTTGTTTTTATTTTTATTTTATTTATTTGATTACAATTACAATCATAAAAAAAAATAAATTATTTCCGGGACTCATTAAAAAAGTGGTCCAAATGTTATGTATCTCTATCAGTATTACAGTTACAAATGTTTTATCAAAAAAGTTTGATTATTGTCATAATTTAATTACATAAAAATGATATGTTAATACAAAGTTGTTCTTTAAAAAATGCAAATTTATGACGTAGATATTATATAATAGAATGAATTCTTAAATAAAATATAAAAAATATATGTTCAACTATACATTGCGTGTATTTGTATATATATATATATATGTTTTGAAAATTAAAAAATAATGTAATAATGAAAGTCTATCAATAAAAAAAAAAAAAAAAAACTTGGCAACTCTCCCTTAATTAAATCAATGAAACATTTTTGTATGTGGCATATCCGTTCATCATATTTACATCAATAACATTATATAAAATTACATTAGATCGAAAACTATTATTATTGTTGTTATTATTATTAAAATTATGATTATTATGATTATTATGATTATTGTTGTTATTGTTATTGTTGTTGTCATTATTGTTATTATTTCCAACCATCGTTATCCCAATTCGTCGTAAATTTCTTAAGGGTTCCCACACGAAAAGCAAAAACAAACCAATATCCGGCATTCAATTTATGAAAATGATAAAATGGTCCGGCAGATGTTAAATATAAATAATACTGCAATATTCGAAAGTATATGTTGGTACAGTTTGTTTATCCAATTTAGATCCCTTTGTTCCTCGGCCACTAATAAACTTATTAATTTTTGATCATTGCCCTCAAGATGTGAACTAACAGGAGAAATGAATACAATGACTAATGGATGACGAAAGTTATATTGCAATATGGTCCGGTGCAAAAAGATTTGCACCTTGCCAAAAAAAGGTGTGATTCACACTAAGTTAAAAATGTGACTGCTTGAAATTCACATGTTTCGTAGAACCAAACCGATCCGCCGCAAAAATTTTTTTACTTCACCATGCTTCCTTCTCCCTTAAAACGCTTCTCCCTTAAAATGAAATTGTGCATCACTTACAGAGAATGAAAAATTAATGATAATCAATGTTTACAATTACTTTTCCGGGGCTAATTCCATAGAAAAAGATCATCAGACCCTTACATTACACAAGAGAGTTGCTGAAATATTAGGTGTTGCTGAGAGAACAGTTGGAAGTGTGGTGTCAGACTGGAACAAGCGCAATGATGGTACATTTACTCCACAAAAAATTCTTGGGCAACCCAAATTTCAACTTGATGAAAATGTTGCAGAACTTTTGCACACTAAGATTTTGAAAGTAAAAAACAGGCGAGCAAATTTCCACATCTGTTTCTCTCTGAATCAAGGTATACATTTTCTAAGTGGCAACTTCTTCGAATACTACACCTCTTGGGCTATTACTATGGTCAAGGAGAATGGAGAAATCTTCTTCATGAGTCACCAAACAATATTGCATTCCATTGCCACTATCTTTATTTTCGTTTTGCAAACTTAGAAGGCAAAAAATGATATTCCACGTTGTCCAGAAGTTCTTCTTGATGAGCCATATTGTCATTTACATCATACTTCACGTAATGCATGTGTTCCCCATCAAGGTGTTGTCTTAGTACCAGGGCATGGTCCATTGGTTGTAATTTTTGGAGCAATTATTGTATTCCAAAATGGGTCTTCCAACAAGTTACATGGTAAACTTGTTCCAAATTCTGTTTATATTTTGGATCCAGCAATTAAACCTCCAGGAAATCGAGGAAGAAAAAGAAATAATGATGAAGAATGGAATGATGTTTCAGATGTTGTTAAAGATGCCAATATTGTTCCCGATCAGGTGAATTATCATGGAAACTTTAATGCAGAGATTTTTGAAACCTTTTTCAACTCTTTTCAAAACACTTCATGAAAAATATGGGCCAGTAGAAATTCACATGGATGGGGCAAGCTATCATAAATAGCGAATTGAAAATATTCCTACATCAAACACAAAAAAAAAAGAAATTATTGACTGCTAATCACTTATAATATTACTTTTTCTAATGAATTACGAAGACTATAGCTTTTTGAACTAGTTCAAATAAATAAAGAAAAGGTACCATTTTCTTGTGTTGAAATAGCAAACGAATCGATCATCAAGTTTTTTTACTCCTCCCTATCACTGCGAACTTCAGCCAATTGAAATTATTTGGGCAGTTGTAAAAGATGATGTTGCAAGTTCGGGTCCACACCCAAACCTTTTATCTATTCGAAATACACTTCTAAATGTATTTAAAAATAAAATTAATTCACAAGTTGTAGTTGGGTTTTGAAGAAAAGCACTTAAAAATGCCAAGGAATATTTTGAGTCTGATGAAGACATGCAATTAATCAATGAAGAATTCGAAGATTATAACAATTCTGATAATGATGCATAAATTCGGATAATTTTATCTTTCCGAATATGTATTTTTGTGATTAAAATAAAATAAAAAAAAAAACTACTTAATAAAAAAATTTTTATTAATATCTTTTTGAGGTACAAATCTTTTTGCACCGGACAATATAATAGTGATTGTGCCAAGTCAAGTTGTGCTTGACGTCTTTGATTTCAATTTTTTTAAGTTTGTTAAAACTTCTCTTTCTATTTGCTCAAATAATTTGTCCAGTAGTTTGTGATGACGCAGAAGAAGAATTGTTGTTGTGTGGGTGCGAATCCATTCATTACAACTTATCGGATGATGAACAGTGTGATGATGATGATAAGGGAATGATAAATATGGAACGAGACATTTGATTTTCAATCACGTTCAAGATTTTGTAAAACGTTTCTCCATCTTATTTTGAATTAAATGATTCTTTAAGGATTTCCGTTAATTGGGACGTAAAGGAAGTCGACCAATCCAAAAAAAATATTTCAATATAACCCTTTGGTGTCGCTTTTAAACATACCCCAGCTCCCCCGTATGCACGTTAATACATCAAAATCACCAATTAATCAATACATTAATAATGAAGATTAAAGTATCTCTCGCTTTTGTAAAAAAAAAAGTTCTTGGTTGATCGGTCTCATTATAAAAGTAAGCGAAAGGAAGTAATCCAAATAAAGCTATATTACATCATATATAAGTCCTTTTTATGTTTTTTTGGATTTTTAATAGCTCTTCGGCATAAATAAAAATAAATTTTTGTTTTCATACGATGATAAATTAATTGCATCAAAGAAAATGGAATCGAAATAGTAAATAAATATATGAATTGTTACATTATTCAGCAAACGTTCCTTAAAAATCAAATAGGATAGTTATAAGTCATGCGATTAAAAACATTCCACTAAGTTGTCAAGTAACTCTACGATGAGAATAATTTTAATCCAGAATAATTACAATCCATTATGAACTTTGCTTCTTGCCTTCAAGGTAACGTTTTATTTCAGCATTTCAGAGAATGGATATTAATTAATTTGTTATCAAAATTATTATTCTTTACCAGTCTCTCGTACAGGACTTTACCTTTTTTAGTCTTGAAGTTTTTGTTTTATCCTAAAAATAAAAATGATACTATTAAAGAAACCATAATGATAATGTTGACTTAATAAATCTCTAATTAATATTGAAT